GAGAAACACTTCAGTCTAAAGAGTCTGAGTTACAGTGACTTTCATTTTGTTTCCAAGAAATTCCATGTTCCAGAAAGCTTCTTAACTCATGGATAATAAGGGTTGCCTTAAAGGGTTGAGGCATCAGAATTGCAGCCGCTGATTATCCCTGCTTGATCCTTAGAGGTGATTAAATTGGTTTGAATTACTGGAGTCAATGCATCTCTTAGCTCCAGCAGGTGAGGTGGTTTCTTTAAGTTTGTAACAACTGAGGTTAGTCAAAATCATCTTTCTTGTTCTGGTGACATAATTGTGATGTTGCACTGTAAAACGGAACAAAACAAAGATAGCTTCTGTAATATTGCCTCATTTAATAAAGACAAAATTTGTGTTAGGAAACCACCTCTGAATTTTGAAAGAAATTTTGTAACAGGAATGGGTCTTGGCCTTGGCTTTCGTGGCCCAAGTGTTTAAGATCCATGACTTCCTTACCACATTTGGTGGCAGTCTTAACAAAGTATTTTGAATGCATATAAGCTAGCTTATGAAAGGTCATAGGTTCTTCTCAAGTGCCAGCTTTGGCCTGAAATAATGCACAAATGAGCAACTTTGGACTAATTCTTCTACCAGTAAAGCTGGAAAGTCATAATAATATTATTATACCCCCAAAAACGAAGTTTGGGGGGGTATATAGGAGTCACCCGGTGGTCGGTTGGTCGGGCGGTCGGTCGGTCCGTGGGGCGGTTGGTCGGTCCAGACGTCCGTTGCATTTTCCTTGTCCGGACCATAACTTGAAGACTAATGGTTGGAATTCAATATAACTACATACAATGGTCAAGCACATTGAGAGGAAGTGCAGTGCACAAGAACCATAACTCTATCTTGACTAATTACAGAGTTATTGCCCTTTGTTACTTTTCCTTGTCCGGGGCATAACTTGAACACTACTGGTTGGAATTCAAAACAACTTCATACAATTGTCAAACACAATAAGGGGAAGTGCAGTGCACAATAACCATAACTCTATCTAAAGTAATTACAGATTTATTGCCCTTTGTTACTTTTCCATTGCTTTCTTTTGTCCGGACCATAACTTGAAGACTAATGGTTGGAATTCAATATAACTACATACAATGGTCAAGCACATTGAGAGGAAGTGCAGTGCACAAGAACCATAACTCTATCTTGACTAATTACAGAGTTATTGCCCTTTGTTACTTTTCCTTGTCCGGGACATAACTTGAACACTACTGGTTGGAATTCAAAACAACTTCATACAATTGTCAAACACAATAAGGGGAAGTGCAGTGCACAAGAACCATAACTCTATCTAAAGTAATTACAGAGTTATTGCCCTTTGTTACTTTTCCATTGCTTTCTTTTGTCCGGACCATAACTTGAAGACTAATGGTTGGAATTCAATATAACTACATACAATGGTCAAGCACATTGAGAGGAAGTGCAGTGCACAAGAACCATAACTCTGTCTTGACTAATTACAGAGTTATTGCCCTTTGTTACTTTTCCTTGTCCGGGGCATAACTTGAAAATTACTGGTAGGAATTCAAAACAACTTCATACAATTGTCAAACACAGTAAGGGGAAGTGCAGTGCATAAGAACCATAACTCTATCTAAAGTAATTACAGAGTTATTGCCCTTTGTTACTTTTCCATTGCTTTCTTTTGTCTGGAGTAAAACTTGAAGACTAATTGTTGGAATTCATTATAACTTCATACAATGGTCAAGCACATTGAGAGGAAGTGCAGTGCACAAGAACCATAACTCTATCTAAAGTAATTACAGAGTTACTGCCCTTTGTTACTTTTCCATTGCTTTTTTTTGTCCGGAGCATAACTTGAAGACTAATGGTTGGAATTCAATATAACTTCATACAATGGTCAAGCACATTGAGAGGAAGTGCAGTGCGCAAAAACCATAACTCCATCTTGACAAATTACAGAGTTATTGCCCTTTGTTACTTTTCCTTGTCCAGAGCATAACTTGAAAACTACTGTTTGGAATTCAATACAACTTCATACAGTTGTCAAGGACATTAAAAGGAAGTGCAGTGCATAAGAGCCATAACTCCATTTTGACAAAATACAGAGTTACTGCCCTTTGATACTTTTCCTTGTCTGGAGCATAACTTAAAACATACTGGTTGAAATTCAAAACAACTTCATACAATGGTCAAGCACAAAAAGAGGGAGGAAGTGCAGTGCACGAGAACTATAACTCCATCTTCAGTATTTATAGAGTTATTGCCCTTTGTTCCTTTTCTTTGTATTTCTGGTCTTATTACAGAGTAATTCAATAAAACTTCTTCAATGGTCAACCACATTGAAAGGAAATGCAATATACAAGAACCACAACTATCTTTAATTGCCCACAACCATAACTCTATATTTCAATTCTTTTACAAGGTATTCTGTAACTAGTAACATCCTCATTTCCGAAGCAGTCTTGTGGAGGTATTAATCACTTTTAGTGATAGTTCTAGTTACTTTTACAGTTTCTATAATTAATAGTAACAATTTATATTCCATTTAAGGAAAGAACTATTACACTAGGCCAGCACACAACAAAGACAACATTTTCTTTTACTTCACAACCATTTTCTTCATAGAGATTAAAGTTTGAAAAAAAAGCAGGCCAACATCAAGCAGTGTTGCTATTTTTTGTTGTATTATTCATTGTCCAAGAGTTTTGAATGTTTTCAAATTGGTTTGACATTTCATGCATTAGTGGCAGCATTGTGGAAGCCTGTGACATTTAATAGATTTTATTCATTTTTTTACCTCTCCAGTCTCATTTTGTCCAATGTTTATCATAACTGCATTTGAAATGCCTAAATCAGTGCCTACTGACAAGTCTCTATACTGGTGATTGCCAAAATTTACAGTTCCATAAAAGAAAATTGGACAAGTTCATTTTAAAAATTCAGCAGGTTACCAGTTATATGTTGGTTCTGTGAACTTAAATTGGTGGCATTATGAAGTATCGTTTTACTTGGATTGAACAGTTTTGAAAATATACCGGTATACATTATTATGCTTGCATAATTAATATATGAGCCGCATCATGACAAAACCAACATAGTGCGTTTGCGACCAGCATGGATCCTGACCAGCCTTCGCGTCAGTGCAGTCTGATCAGGATCCATGCTGTTCGCTATCAGTTTCTCTACTTGTAATAGGGTTTGTAAGCGAACAGCATGGATACTGATCAGACTGCAAGGATGCACATGCTGGTCTGGATCCATGCTGGTCGCAAACCCATTATGTTGGTTTTGTTGTGATGCGGCTCATATCTTTGGTTTATTTATGAATATCAGTAATAGGCAAAGGCCTCCATTAAAGTACATGGCATGCCTAGTCACAATACAGTTCTGTCTGATCCAACCCATTACTGTTTGCTATTTTACTTTATTATTTGGATATTGATATCCCTAAAATTAACAATGGGCATTCCAAATTCAAAGCAGGACAATCCTGTGGCACTGAAAGTAAATGTTTATCCTGTACCACCCTAAATATCTGAAATGGACTTATCTTTCAGTCTTGATTAAACCATGTTTTAGACGGCGGGTGCACGCCCCGTGCTAGCGCCATCTAGTAGATATGCATTTGTCCGTTTAGCAATGGGGAAAATTTTAGACTTGATTTGTGCATTTTTTTTTGTTTTAACAAAATCAAATTGTTTTCAAATTTTCAAATAAACATAGCTTTTCTGATGTACAACATGTCCCAGAGCTTTAAAGGATAAAAATAAACGTTTAACTGAAGTGATAGTGTCATGTTTGAATATCCTTTTCTTTTTATAATTATCTTATTTTATTTTATCAACCTAACAAATAATGTGCCAATGAGCCAGTCTATAGTCTATCATTCAAATAACTTAACCATTGAGACCCGTCTATAGTCTAATGACAGGCAGGGAACAAGAGGTATCACTAAAATATGCAACGGAGATTATTTTGGCACTACAGACACAGCAGAAATATTTTTTGCAAAACAGGCAAAACATGTGCGGAATGTTATTCATTTGAATAACTAACATTACAGTTACAAAACTGGTTATTTTAAAAGATTCTGTGACCGACGATTGTTCTCTTTTGCCTAAATTTTTTATTACATTTTGTGGTCCAATACCTAGATTCTAGGCAAATATTCAATGTTTTGTTTATTCAAGTAGTTTAATCTTTAAAATAAGTCAATAATACGTAACAAAGAATTGATTATAATAAATTATATCAATTTATTCATAACTGTTATTTGATATTACAGACATATTTTCGCTATTTGTAAAACAACCGACAGTTCGTCCTCAAAATCATTCGAACATTATGCAATTCGCACCAATATTTAAATGGACATATTCTCGGCACATATTGTCTTGAATTTACTTTAAGTTTACCAATCATTTAAATTTCACTTGTTATCCAATTTATTTTGCTTCGACCAGACGTTTCAATCTTTGTCGCAACAGACAAACATTTAAGAATTTCAGACACATACCAAGAACATGGAGAAAAAATTAATAAGTGCTTAGGATATTCCACTGTAATAGAGAACGATTTTCAATTCTGATTTTGAACATTAACTATGACTGTTCACATCATTTGGCGGCATCTTTGATGTGCAGCATCAATATTTAACTTGTTATCACTTTAAAGGAAAAATTTCTGAAAGTGTAGTGACTGAATAGCAAACAGTGGTACAGTCTGCAACTGGTTGAATTGGTAGAATCACTGACTGCTAGCATGCAGGATAAGGGTTTGAAAGTTAAGACTAGTTTTGAAAATGTTATTAAATGTTTAAAGATTAAAGTTTTGAAACAAATATACATATTACAACATTTTTATTGGCTGATTTATTTTTTAAATTAACCAATTGGAGAGAGAGAGAGAGAGAATAGCATCAAAATTTTAATTTCTTTTGTAGCATGTTTGTATAATTATCATGAAAAACTTTACATGAAATAACTTAAATAATATATTTACAATGTTTTACATTTCAGGACTCAGCATACCTCTCTGTCGAAGATGGACATTTCTGAAGATAATGAACCTGGCTTGTCCAAATTTGATGTCGTTCTTTCATTCACATTGGAGGTATATACTCTTAACTTTCATTCACATTGGAGGTATATACTCTTAACTTTCATTCACATTGGAGGTATATACTCTCTTAACTTTCATTCACATTGGAGGTATATACTCTCTTAACTTTCATTCACATTGGAGGTATATACTCTCTTAACTTTCATTCACATTGGAGGTATATACTCTCTTAACTTTCATTCACATTGGAGGTATATACTCTCTTAACTGCTGATTATGTTCTTCTATAAATATAAAAATTTCAAAAGGACATATAATTATATGTCAAACTCTGAACTGTTTTAGTCTCCTTAAGATATATAAAATATGATTATTAACCATAAAATGTAGGGCAAAAAGTAGATTACATGTAGTGCTACTCTTGATGAATCATGCTTTCAAGATAATTTAATTCTATTTTAATCATCTGAACTCAATACTTCAATCCTAAATAAAGTTGTTTCTAAAGTGAAATGTTTCTGCAAACTGGTTAAAAAAGAAAAGGACAAAAGTCCTTGAAATACACAAATTTTCAAAGAGGAAGATTGTGTTTTCCAAGGGAGATAATTGTACTATGAAACATTAGGATAGTCTCAGACAATACCATATCTCTGTGCTATAAGAAGATTTGCTAATTTTTGGTTAGCAGAGATAAACAATACCTTTCAGTTATCTGTAATGCCTTGATGACTAGGAGAATTCTCATTAGGAAGATAATAGAAATCCTGGAAGGAAATAAAAAAGAAGAAAGATTTTACACTTAATCTGCCCCTGTTAACAGAATAGAACAGAAAATTTATTTCACATTTAAGCATTACAGCTTATCACCAACAACCATTTAGTATATACATTGTACATAATATACTAGGTACAAATAAAAAAAAATAGTAGTATACTTGGAACATAGATTGAATTATATACAGAATTAAAGTAATGTGTAAATGAATTTAATTTGTTATAGGTCAGAGTAAACATTTGTGTTTGTAGAATTTCATTGGAATTTGAATATTCACATGAGAATCTTAAAGTTGAAAAGCCTTGTACAATCAAAATGGAAAGTATGTGCTCTCTTTTTAGCTCACCTGAGCATGCTCAGGGTGAGCTTTTAGGATCGATGATTGTTCGTTGTCCGTCCGTTCACATTTTGTTGTTAACACTCTAGCAGTCGCATTTTTGCCTCAATCATCATCAAATTTGGTCACCATGCTTATCTAGTTGATAGCTCGGATGAGTTCGAGCATGGGTCATGTCGGATGAAAAACTAGGTCAAAAGAGCTAAAAATAGAAAAACCTTGTTAACACTCTAGAGGTCACATTTTTGCCTCAATCATCATCAAACTTGGTCAGGATGTTTGTCTAGGTGATAGCTTGGATGAGTTCGAACATGGGCCATCTCTGATGAAAAAGTAGGTCACCGGAGCTAAAAATAGAAAAACCTTGTTAACACTCTAGCGGTCACATTTTTGCATCAATCATCATCAAACTTGGTCAGGATGCTTGTCTAGGTGATAGCTTAGATGAGTTCGAACATGGGTCATCTTGAATGAAAAATTAGGTCACCGGAGCTAAAAATAGAAAAACTTTGTTAACACACTAGCAGTCACATTTTTGCCTCAATCATCATCAAGCTTGGTCAGGATGCTTGTCTAGGTGATAGCTTGCATGAGTTCGAACATGGGTCATCTCGGATGAAAAACTAGGTCACCGGAGCTAAAAATAGAAAAACCTTGTTAACACTCCAGCGGTCACATTTTTGCCTCAATCATCATCAAACTTGGTCAGGATGCTTATCTATTTGATAGCTCGGATGAGTTCAAACATTTGTCATCTCAGATGAAAAACTAGGTCACAAGAGCTAAAAATAGAAAAACCTTGTTTACACTCTAGCGGTCACAATTTTGCCTCAATCATCATCAAACTTGGTCAGGATGTTTGTCTAGTTGATAGCTTGGATGAGTTCGAACATTGGTCATCTCAGATGAAAAACTAGGTCACAGGAGCTAAAAATAGAAAATCTTGTTAACACTCTAGTGGCTACTGTTTTGATCCAAATATCCTGTAAATTGGTCTGAAAGTTTGTTTTGATGATTTCTAAGTCAAGTTCGAACATGGGTCATCTTGGATGAAAAACTAGGTCACACCGCCCAAATATTGAAAAACCTTGTTAACATTCTAGTGGTCACATTTTCGACTCAATTATCATCAAACTTGGTCAGGATGCTTGTCTAGGTAATTGCTCGGATCAGTTTTGAAATCGCATGTGAACTAGGTCACTGGAGCTAAAAATAGAAAAATCTTGTTAACACTCTAGTTGCTACTGTTTTGATCCAAGTTATCCTGGAAATGGTCTGAAAGTTTGTTTTGATGATTTCTAGGTCAAGTTTGAATATGGGTCACCTGGGTTAAAAAACTAGGTCACACTGCTCAAATATGGATAATCCTTGTTAACACTGTAGTGGTCACATTTTTGACTCACCTGTCATGAGACTTGGTCAGAATGCTTGTCTAGGTAATTGTTTGGATGAGTTTGATGGGTCAGGTGAGCGATCTAGGGCCATCATGGCCCTCTTGTTTAACAAACTTCTGAATTGAAACATACCATGTCTTTTTGTGTATATTTCTGGTGTTACTTCAAGATGGGGACCGTTAAGCAAGCCTGTTTTTTTACTATCAAATAAATAAAAGTCAATTAATGTACATGAAGATATGAAATAACTTGAGTAGTAATTCAGCTAAGTAAGAAAATGTAATTTAATTTGGTTATAAAAAGGGACCAGAATAATGATTTTGAATTGTCATCAGATATTTTCTTCAGCCCTTATATGTATGGGGGTGTAGATGTAATAAAACCAAATCATAAAATATACATATAGCAGTAATTTAGTGGTATAAAGCCTATTCTAGGCACTGTACTTGTCTTTTCCTTACAGTTTCATAGAACATTGCCATCAAGATTAGCTCACAACGTAGGACAGACCAATTTATATTTATGATTAACTTTAAAAGAAAATTATGAGAACTGCATTATTGAATATGATTTTTGAATAAGAAATGCAGTGATAAAGGAGGAATTAAATAAAGTGCCCAGACGGAGTTATGACTAGTGATTTAGTATAATGACTTTCCTGCTCAAAGATTCTATCTTTCCAATCATTGTAATTTTATATGGCTTATTGTGCGCAGCCATTTTTTTTTTCCATCTGCCGCTCAGTCTTTCTCAGTATGCTTATTTTGAGAATTTCATGAATATAATTATCGGCTCACTTCATTATCACAAAACAAAAAATGAACTACATGTACTTCTGTTCCTACTTTTAGTGTGGTATGATACTGTGGCAGAAAGCATTTTTGTTTAGAAATGAATTCTTGTTTTTTGTTTGTTTGGGGTTTTTTTTGTAGAAAATTTGCATTTATGTGTGTACTGTCTATATGTTGGATACTGTACACCAGACATCATTTATTATAAGTCTTTTCAAATACTTCCTAGTTCTGTGTAAGTTCAATGTGGTTTGTGTGAATAATGTAAGGTTAGTATCAGAATGTTTGAGTGTACATTAATAAAAAAATCAATTTTGATTTACAACAAAATCAACATTAAAATGCAACTGTCCAATGAAATATTAATGCTTTTGAATATTTTGTCTGGAGGGAGTGATTGCCCCGTAGTTTTCGTTGTGTCTTCTAGCATGTCCTACCTTAAGCGACACTATGTTTTTACATAGTGCTCAAGTACAAATCTGCCAGTATTGAAGATGTCCATTTCGTTATACGAGGGCTGTTCAAAAAGTTCTTGGACTGCGGCTCTACTGTTCACATCTTTTAATTTGCGTATATGATTTTACAAGTAACAGATATGAAAATATGTCATTAATAAAAAGTGAAAAAATCAATACAATATATTTACAAATAAGAATTCTGTGACAGTTACATATCACAAGGGGTGCACAATCCGGCGCACGCTGATGATGAAACAAAATGACGTTCGTGACGTCGCATTGTAAATGAAATGTTTTACCAGTGTCATTGTTTCTGAAAGTACTCTTTCTAGTGTTTAATATCTGCGGATCATAGACAAAAACCATATTTCTGGTTGTGATGATGACCCGAGATATATAGTGGTCATTTTTTTGCTCCATTCTCCGTATAAGGGTCCGAGTGCCGCATACTTTCCGCTCTTTATCGGGATTTTTGAGTAATCTCGACACTTAACGGACAGTGTTATTAAGTTAATTCAATTGTTGATTTAAAGTATCAATTTGAACCCGCCCTCGTCCGATCTTTAAACAATATGATTATCAATGATAAAGAAAAATATTTTATCAACTTACAATTATAATATGCGGTAAATCTACTGAACACCGGCTAGCATTAATTATCCAACGGACCAGGGTAAATACATGTAATACAATAATAACGACAATTATTTATTGTGAATAGGCATATATTCTGATGAATGAAATAAAATATTATTTCAATTAAATTAAATTGTTTTGTCAGAATTGAATGCATAGATACGATGCAGAAATTAAATATGTCGAATATCTCGCAAACTTTTCATACTGTCTGGACTTCTGTATATCTTTTGCAGTTGACGTTACAAACGTCGCTAAAAATTCTCCCTCGCCTTTTCTGTCTGTGAGCATGTATTTGCCGTCTTTGAATCGCTTGCGCGAACTGAAACTGAGAGACTTGCTCGCCAACTCATTTTTCTTCGTTAATTTAATCACCTCATAAAAATATGAAGGAGTATTACACATTTATTGGTAAAAATTTCCGAAAGAACGAATTTCTAGTTTTTAAACGGGCTTTATACTTCCAAACTTACCCGTCTGTCTACTGCTGCTCAAAACCTGTTTGTTCAGCTATTCAACGTCCAAACGACGTCAAATTTCAGATTTATGTCATTTAAATATTAATAGATGATTACTTGTATTTTACTTCATAAAACAACCATTCAGTTTGTTTCAACATTTGTTTATATTTAAAAATTATATGAAAATTTCAAAGGTCATATGGCAACTTTCAACCTTTACTTTTGGCAGAAGACCTCAGGTGCCCCTCCTTGCATTATTTCAAGCATGAACAAGCACCTGAGGAGAACCACCAACAACATTTTAAAATGACATTTTGAGTCTCAATAAACCTAATGAAATTTTAGTTAAAGCAACTGATTTTGTTTGTTTGGTTTTCGTCCATTGAATTCTTGTATTTTTTCGATAATTTCAAATAGTACTGTACTGTGCACAATTGTGTGTTATCTAATAATTATTTAACAACAAAATGTTTGTTTTGATTTTTTTTAATAAAATAAGTCATAAGATTTTGCTAAGGAGGGCTTCAGTAACTAGTGGGTAAGGTTGCTGAATGTTAAACTATATGCCCTGAGAGCCTTTGAATTCTTTCATGTGAGGAAGTTGATTGAACCAGTTTGCTTAAGCACAAGACCAATTTCAATAAAACATTTCACATATTCAAACTGTAAACTGGACCAGCTTGTTACATATATATAAATTCACCAGAGTTGATTGTTAAAAGCAAGAAGCATAAAAAATAACGCATAAATTGCCAATTTTATGATATCTCGTATTATTATAATATATATCATGACTTGGAGGTTAACTTATTAGTAAGTCTCCCTTGTGGCTATGAAATCAATATGTTAGCATACACCTACATATTTTATTCAAATTAAAATCAAGATGAATACATTTGTAATGAGAAACAAAACAAAGTTATGAGACTTCAGTGACTGTGATCTCAGTTTTTGTAACATTTGCATCATCGATTATTATGACATTAAAATGAAAATAGCAGTATATAGTTTGCAGAATATAATTTCTTCTTGACATTTTGATAGTACATTGTATGTGGGAGATTTTGGTCATAATTTACTCAGCAAAATGTGTGCAATCATTATTGTGGTTGCCATGTAGATTTCTGTGATTAGTATTCTGTGATTATTACAAGGGTTGTGTAGGCAGCAGTTTAGAGTCTGATCAGATCATATAGATTCACAGGCTGGTCTAGCCAGAAACATGTTATATATGTCTCTGGTCTAGCTCTATACTGGGGCATATAAGTTTAGCCTTGCTCTATGTTGGTGACATAAAATTGATGCTGGCCTGGCCTATTACAGTTGGCATTCAGACTTGCCTAGCACTATAATGCTGGCATACATGCTGGCCTAGCTCTATACTGGTGGCATACACTGGCTGGCCTAAGAAAAGAAAACATGAAAAGAAAACTAATAAAATAGAACTTCAGTGGCTCCTGTGGTCATAGTCTTTACTGACTATATTATCATCAGCAGACTTAGAAGGTTAGGGTCAACTAAATAATATACCTGATTGAGACAGTGTGCATTAATGAGTTATAGGCCATTATAATTTGTAATATATCAAATTATTTAAGCATTTATTATAAAGTTTTTGTCATCATCTGAATAGGATAGAATGTCATTTATTTATGTTAGACAGTAAGGTCAAGGGTCACTTGATTTATATGAACATAAGGTCAAGGCCTTTGAAATCTCAAATTGAAAAACAAATCATATATGAGCAATTATTACTGGACAAGATATAGTTTAATACTGTCGGAGATTTTATGTAACTCTGAATACAGTCATGTATTTATTTTTGCAGGTACATGTAGTGGAGGTGAAAGGTCTTAAATCCTTGGCTCCTAACAAAATAGTGTACTGTACAATGGAGGTAGAGGGTGGGGAAAAGTTGCAGACAGACCAAGCAGAAGCCTCTAAGCCAAGCTGGGACACCCAGGGTGACTTCACTACAACCCATCCTCTACCAGTTGTCAAGGTGAAACTGTATACTGAAAGCTCAGGAATGCTTAGTCTAGAAGACAAGGAACTTGGAAAGGTAAATCATAATTGAGCCGAGTCAGGACAAAACCAACATAGTGCGTTTGCGACCAGCATAGATCCAGACCAGCCTGCGCAGTCTGATCAGGATCCATGCTGTTCGCTTACAAACCCTATTACAAGTAGAGAAACTGATAGCGAATAGCATGGATCCTGATCAGACTGCGCGGATGAGCAGGCTGGTCAGGATCCATGCTGGTCGCAAACGCACTATGTTGGTTTTGTTGTGACGCGGCTCATATAAGTATTATCAACTATTTAGCCTGCTGCCAGGCAGATTTTACACTTGTGACCAGTGCAGATCAAGATCAGGAGGCACTATTTGCTATTCAGTCAGTATGTACTTTGAAAAATTCCCTAATAAATGATGAATGGTTTTGTCCAGATTGAAAGATAGACAAGTCCATTTAAGGTTTTTAGGGTGATAATGGTAAACAGCTTCAGTGTCTAAAATGATAAATTGGTAGCGTTATTAGGCTATATATTTTCTGAAAATAAAAGTCATATATTGGGAATGACAACAAGATAATAAGAAATAATATTTGTTGCAAACATAAAATTTTCTCCATTTATGTCTGCAGTTAAGCCCATGTACTCCTTTAAGCCCATTTTTCGTGGTAGCTGAACAAAGATGTCCAATTAACCATTGAAAGATAGTGCATATTCTTTTGCTTTAAGCTTTTGAATGCAGCCATTCTGTCTGTCTGGCAAATTATAACCTTTTTTCATGAATTAGTCTCTTTGCTTCTTACTATGTGTAATTTAATTTGTCACAGTGTTGTTTTTACAACTTTGTACAAATGGTATTGTAAGGTTCTGCATATATTTTGACATGACATTATTTATCTTATATTTACATGGAGTAAAGATGCTCAAAAGACTACTGTATGATAAAATACAAAACTGTTGAACTGTCACTTCTTAAAGACCTACCTATGTTGAAGTAGGTCTTGTTTAATTTGTTCACTGTGATAAATGGCATTGACTTAGTCTTATCAAAAGCACAATTAATTTTGGCTCTTCGGGGCTAGCCTGAGCAATGACTGTTTGTAGGTTGTGACTTCTGAAGGGCTCACACTTATGATCCTTGAGGATCATGATCAGATTGTGTCCATTACTGTCTATTAAATTCAAAGGTATATTAACCCTCTGCACACTTAATGTTTTAAATGGATTTGATGGACTTTCAGTCTGGGTAAAACAGTTGATCATTTTTAAGGAAAACTTCAAAATGAGTACTGACTGATCAGTAAACAGTGCAGACTATGATCAGACAGGTTGAACATGGTCTGCACTGGTCCCACGGGTAGAATCAGCTCCCCCGGCAGGTTATGGGTTAAATTTCCTTTTTACATGTATATCTTGAACTGTATATAAAGATAAAATATCAAGAATGCAATATTTTTATAGTTGAGGGATTTTATGGTTGACAGCTATTCAAGAACAAAATTGTGTAGTGATTCTGTGAAACAAGCATATACCATGATTAAATACTGGTCAAAAGTGGAAAAATTCTCAGAGCAATAACTTGTAATCTGTATTTATTCCCACCTCTTTCCACCAAATTAAGGGAAAATCTTTGAATCTGATTGTTTACTGCATAGCCAAGGATCTTGTTTATCTGATATTTATGGGTGTTTTTATATAGTCACAGGAATAATAATAGAATAGCAGGCGTTTAAAGCCTCTGGTAATAAACTGGTAATAAACTACCAGCAGTTGTATCTGCCATACATCTGTTTGTCCAACCCCTGTCAGCAAATACAGACAAATAACAAACAATTCAATGAATTTGTGATTCCAGGAAGATTCTTGGGAATGGTTCCTTCTTCTCTAGATTAGAATGTTGTTGTTTTTCTGCAGAGATTCTTAGCATGAATAGACTATTATAGAAAATTTCAGACATAAATTCTTGTTTTGTTTGCGTTTAAAGTTACATTGACTTTATTTATGTCATCCATAATATAATTTTGCATCTAACAGAATATAGAAAAAAAAAACCTTTGGTGCTTTTCAAGGAATTATTTCAGATGAAAGGGAATACTGAGGTAGCACTTGTGATCTTTCATGTAGATCTCTGACCATTGACCACTCAAACATTGACCATTGCAGAATCTGAGCCCACACAGCCATTAGGTGTAAGTGAACCATGCGGTGTCATACCTGTGTTGTTGAAATACAGTACCCATTAAGCTTGCACTTTGTGACTTGCCCAACTTTGAATTAGGAAGAGTCTAAGAGTTTCAGGGATTTCAGTATCGAAATGCAAAATTTTCTAAGTTAACAGTAAAGTGCCTGGTCAGATTGTATTGATGTGCAGGCTGGCCTGGCTCTATACTGGTGGCAAAGGCTAGTCACTTACAGTTCCAACAGGATGAGGGGTTTAATTTGAAGTGGAAATTTTGTTTTTTATTTTAGGTTGTTTTGCGGCCTACTGGGAACAGCAGCAGATTGGCAGAGTGGCACAAAATGAAGACAACCAAAAACTGTCCAGATGACCTGTCTATTAAAATAGCAGTCAGAATGGACAAACCACAGAATATGAAACACTGTGGGTATGTATATTTTACTGTTAATATCACATACGGTATATCTTGATAGTTGAATTTAGATATTTCTCACACTACTTGTATCAAGATTCAGTTAATCAAACTCCCTTCTCATTATTAGTTAAGATTTCTGACACGTTATATGGCCATACTTAAATGGTTGCTTAAAAATATAACCTGAGCTACTAGGTGAGGGTTATATTGCAAACAACCATTTATATTTGGCCATATAACTGGTCAGACACATTAATAATGAATTTACAATACAGCAAGCATCTTTTTTTAGAGAAAAAAGTGAGATTTCCACATAAATTGATAGCAGCTGTGTATATAATTCTATATAAACATCATGATAATCCAATGAATAGCCACGTTACAAACATGCAGAGTTATAATGCCAAATAAAAGTACTTTTTTCCAGTAAAAAAAAAATAAGTCTGATGCCAAAGCTAAAACCTCTAAATTTTCCTAGATTTTTTCCCCTAGAATAGATAGAACTATATAAGACTTGCTTGTAGTTTATTTCAGACCGGTAAATTTGTGTTTCGGACTTACATTATTTGAGCCTTCACTTTATTATCTGCTGATTGTTAATTAATAGGATTTCAATATAAAAAAATGAGATATATTGAAGAGAAAAGGCATAAAAATATATTCACCGGCTTAACTTATCTTAACTGATGATATAGGTCTGTCTTTTATGGAATAATCAGGGTCAGCAAGATCTGAATTTAACCAACCTTTTTGTTTTCATCTAAAGCATTTCGTAACTTGTCTGTATGATATTTATATAGTAAATTTATAAAAAAAATTCCACTTGTCCGTACAGTATGTGGGACAACCTTGGCAATACAGATAATTGATTTTGCCGTCCCTGGATAAATGCTTGTTGAACCCTTCAAATTGTATTTGTGTAATTGAATTCCCATTCTTTGAATTTGGAACAGTCCATTCAAAATATAAGGGACATCAAAAACAAAATACAAAAATTGAGTTTCCAACAAAATAGATGTGCAGGCTGGCAAAGTTTAATCTCTTGGTTCCAGCAATTTTCATTAATTATAACAATGATATATTGTATCACCGTGACATTATTGGATATTCTTTAATTTCTCTGTCTTTTGTTTCTACTTTATAACTATCCATTGACATATATATCTCGGGTTTTTTTTTTCTCAATATTTAAATATCTTGCGATGTAAATATCTGCTGCTATTTTATGCTATCTGATTGGATCTATTTTATCCTCTGCAATAGCTGGAAATCTTACCCATTCCAGAGCTATTAAGGAAACAGTTAATTGCCAGTCTTGAACTGTACTGCATGGACAGAATATGCCCAATTAAGACAGAAATTTCAATAACATTTCTCTAGAAATCACTGGCAATCATTTCATGGAGAATTTTATCTTTCTGCTACTATTGTTAATTTAATGGCACTCTGTGATTATTTGTGAACATTTTTTGCCTCCACTTAATAGAAAATTCGAGTTGTTTATTACTGACAGTTTTTACTCAAGTGCCGTCAGACATTGTTTATAGCGTGAGCAATTAATGACTTGATTCCCTGACTGTGTTACATATATTTCCTCTGTCTTACAAGACTAGCAGTATGAAGTGTTTTTCTTTGCTTAGAATGTAATTCTTAGGACATTTTCACTATAGCTTGATTTCTTAGGACACTAGATAATTTCTTAGGACAATATCTCTGTAGGGAGATAATTTCCTAGGACAATATCTCTATAGATAGAAATTTCTTAGGAATAACGAGATCAGCCTGTCTTGTATTTTTATGCAAGAATAGCAATTAATCCCACTTTTGTTTGCATTAACACATGAGGAAACCCATATTAAATGGGTCCTCTGCTTTTGCAGATAAAGGTGCATAAAATAAAAAAATCAGATATAGCAAGAAATCATTAGATTTTAAGCAAACATTTTATTCTTTGAATGTTTTTAATGAATTATGAATGCTGATTCTGTCCCGACTTTGTTCATATTAAGGAAAATACATCACCTTATTGCAGTAATGGTTTTACTCCTTATATATTTTAATAGGAGTTAACCCATTATATTATTTCACTAAGATGGTGAATATAGGAAGTTTAATCACCTTTACAGAGTTTACTAAATATTACTAAAGTCAGAAAGTTGGCAATTAACAGCTTATTCCTTAGATAGAAAAGATGTTTTAACAAACAAAGCTTGTTAGTGCAGGGAAATTTTAACTCCTGTGAAAAGTGATAAAAAACATCAATGGTTGTTTTAACTTACCTTAATTATGAATTTGATCAGATGAGTACCACATTACTGCTATATGATAAGCCTTAATTAACTGTGTTAGTGAGTTAAGAAATAGAAAATGTATGTTTTGTAGCTAGAGAATTAGGTTTGTTACGTATATCTTTCACATGTAGCAGCATGCTTTGAAGGTCATCCTCTGAAGTACAAATTACCTTCTTTCCAACAAAGGTTTAAAATTATTTCCCAAAGTCAGGGTAAGGTTTAGTTTATAGCTTATATCGAGTGGCAGGTGGTGTAGTGGTTAACACGTCTGACTTGTAATCTAAGGATTGATGGACATGTGGAATCGGACCCAGTCAGGGGCAGGCCATTGTTTCCTTCAGCAAGAAACTTTACATTCATTGTTTAGTACTGGGGTTGGTTCCAGGAATGGATTCGAGTGTGTTTCAATAAGCTTGAGCTTTCTTGTTTTGGCACCATATGACCTAAACTGTGTTGGTGAGCAGTAAAACCAAACAAACAAAAAAATCTAGTTCTTTATTTTTGGTAACATGGGCATAAAACACATTTTTCCTTGATCTTAAAATTCGATCAAATTTAATAATAAAACCAATTTTGTTTCCAGTTATAACACATGTCATATGTTTCTTGTATTATAACAGGAATTGCATATTTCAGGAATACTTGTTCAGTAACTGCTTGTCAGAATATCCAATATATGAACTAGAATTCATCCTGTATAAACTGACAAACTTGTAAACATTTTTTTTCCCATCTATTTATTAAATAAAAACAACATAAAAAAACAACACCTATTTTTCAAACAACAAACCAAGTTCAGAACATGCAACATTATTTATTAGCTATTCTTTTTGGAGCTATTGTCTTGACCCTCTTGTGGGCGCCATTGATGGTTTTATCATTGAGGTCCATTTCTCAGAAGCAATCAAAGCTATTCACTTCCAACTCAGTATGCATGTTTATTATCATAAAAAAAGAGGCCATTTCAAAAGGGCAGACAATCCAGAATTTAATTTTTGCAAAGATATGCACCTTTTTCATTTTGGAATATTTTTCCCTGGTTAACCTTTTTGATTTAAGGTTGTTTTGGGGGAAATATAGTAGTTATTCACTTGATATCCATGTTCACTATCATAATATGACATTATTTAAATAGACATTTTGGCAAAGGTTGCCCCAGGCTAAGGTCCATTTCTCAAAGACTCTCAAACATATTTCAAATATGAAATGCTGGTTTAATTTTAAACTGGAATGTAATTTTAAATGGAAGATAATCCCTTATGATTTATATTTGCTTAGTTATGCCACTTTAACTTCTTTTAATTTCCCAGTTTTTCTTTTGCACTGAGAAAAGTGGAGCATACTGTCCAGGGACAGGTCTTGTTTTATACACTTATTAGTGTTCATTCACTCAAATAATGTTCTGTTTCTATGCCACAGCTGTTTAGCAAAAATAGTATACATGTATACAATTTAATACAAGTATTGTTGAAAACATAATCTTTTTAGTAGATCTTGTTAAGAAATTATTACTTTGTAATTGTAATGAATCTTCCTTGTTCTTTACAATGACTTAAATAGAAAATTTACATTCATTTTATCATAATTTATGGTTCATTTCTTAGATTTTTTTTGCCCGTTTTTTATGTCTCGCTTCTTAAGAAAACGTAAGAAATTTAGTGCAATCAATTTTTATTGTAGATCATGCAGACATTGTTATAGGGTTACCAATTAATGTTATTTGTCTATGATATTTCTTGCTGGGTTCTAATGTACTTGCTATGTCCTTAATGCTTCTGTTAAGGCCAAAAATAATGGAATATTGGTTTCTGGGCCCCCTGTCTGCCCTGTTTTTTTAAACTGCCAATCAACTTTTTTTTTGCCTTTCCTGTATTTCAAAACTTTATCATCATTACAATATATAATGATATAGAATGATTTAAACCAATGCTCAGTGAACAATCCTAATAAATGTTATGAAAAAAACAATAATTGATTACCTATTTGATGAAAGTAAATGCTTCTGTTCATAAGTAATCTATGCAATGGTTTCATTTAAAAACAAGCGTATCATTCTACAGTTGTTGCCATATAAATAGAAAGAGTAAAATGAGTGCGCTTAAGGTCTAACTAAAACAAATGCCTGGTAAAATGTAGACTATTTGGACTTTGTGTAGATAAACAGTGTTTTAAAATTTGTAAAAGTTTTGAACGAATACAAAAACACAAAATTTATGAAAATTTCTTCAAAATTGATTACTTAGGTTAATAACCTAAATTGGCCTTAACTGTGCCTGTTTAGAAGCCAAAATGCAGCTATTCTGTCTGTTAGACTTAAGAGTTACTCCCCTTTTGTCTGCTGCGAAGGGTCATTTGACCATGCAGGAAGTTTTATGAACTGTAACATTTCAGTTGGAAAAATAGTGAAATTTTATTCTGAAAGAACTTCTTTAAATCATCATGATGGGTTGAGAGTTGGTCTATCAATGCCAAGTGTCGGTCCAACCATTCTAAAATTGTAATGTTATAAATATTTCAAATATATAAAAAAAAACATTCCTGCCAGCAAAACCTCTCGCTGGAGGAGGGTAGTACTAGAAACTTTATTGTTTTGGTCTTTCTAATTTTAGAATAGTTTTGTCTGTAGAGGTCTAGGTTGAGATTATATATTGTGAATGTCTAAAGGTTAACTTATTTGATCTGTGGATCATGTTTAACCTTTAACATGCACAATCTGTGTGATGGACATCCCCTGCCTTGAAATTGGGATATTATATTGTTGATTTTAGAGATTTCAGTATCAAATTGCAAAAATGAGTAATTAAATTAAATTATTTAAAGTAAAACAGCCTTAGTTACATTGCATAGATGGCCTGGCTCTTCAGTAGGCATTGACCTGTGATTATCATTACAGATGTTTGAAGGATATGTCTGTGTATTTAAGCTATTATTGTTGATATTTAAAAAGATTGAACTTCAAGTTTACTTAACAACATACTTTAGATACTGATGTGACTGAATATAAGATTCTTATATGAAAGCAAGATGAAATCATTTATGTTGCAAAGTTGTTACTGGTAAATTCTGGGTTGTTCTTTGCTCAATTGATAGTTTTTAATAAAAAATTTGAAATGATATGTCAGTATATTGAATATAATGTCATTTCAACATGTCAGAAAACTTGAGAAAAGCAACAGAAGTTGTTGGGGATTTTCGTTTCTTTGTTGATTGTTTGTTGTTGTTTTTTGCTAAAATGATATACAATAAATAGTAATCATTCAAAGATCTTTTTAAGTAAATTTTGTAAAGTCATTCTTACAAGATTGCTAGCTTTTGATGTTTTCTTGATTTTTTTACATGACAAATCCCTATAAAACCAGCCATTTCTACCATTAGAATAGTCACAATTTAAAAAGAAAATAAGTTTCAAGTATGGTGAGAAATAACCACTTTAACACTTTAATTCTTTGTATGTTTGTATATTGGACTTTATGTTAGACCCCCCCCCCCCCATACACCAATACCTTAAACAATACCCCTACAGTACTACCTGTTTCAATAAATTAGCTTTACTTTATTTGTGTTTAGTTTGCTTTCATAGATAGCTTTTGGTTAAAATTTTCAAGCAAATAAAATAAGTGAGATAGCATTTGTGTGTATTCTAAATGACAAGTGTTGAACTGCAAAACATAGTTGATACAAGTTAAAAAGCTTTCTTTGGCATTTCTCTCCTGTGAATCTCATTTTATCAATATTCCAGAATCCTTAGCTCTTTGTTAAGCTTATGCCACCGTTCTTAAATAAACAAGCCTATGTCACCAATATAGATTACAACAAGCCTTTGTCACCATTATAGAGTTTAACAAGCCTTTGTCACCTTTGTAGAGTTTAACAAGCCTTTGTCACCATTGTAGAGTTCAACAAGCCTTTGTCACCTTTGTAGTTTAACAAGCCTTTGTCACCATTGTAAAGTTTAACAAGCCTTTGTCACCTTTGTAGAGTTTAACAAGCCTTTGTCACCATTGTAGAGTTTAACAAGCCTTTGTCACCTTTGTAGAGTTTAACAAGCATTTGTCACCATTGTCGAGTTTAACAAGCCTTTGTCACCTTTGTAGTTTAACAAGCCATTGTCACCATTGTAGAGTTTAACAAGCCTTTGTCACCTTTGTTGTTTAACAAGCCTTTGTCATCATTGTAGAGTTTAACAAGCCTTTGTCACCTTTGTTGTTTAACAAGCCTTTGTCACCATTGTAGATTTTAACAAGCCTTTGTCACCATTGTTGAGTTTAACAAGCCTTTGTCACCATTGTAAAGTTTAACAAGCCTTTGTCACCATTGTAGAGTTTAATAAGCCTTTGTCACCATTGTAGAGTTTAACAAGCCTTTGTCACCATTGTAGAATTTAACAAGCCTTGTCACCTTTGTAGAGTTTAACAAGCCTTTGTCACCATTGTAGAGTTCAACAAGCCTTTGTCACCTTTGTAGATTAACAAGCATAATGCCATCATTGTATAGTTTAACAAGCCTTTGTCACCATCGTAGAGTTTAACAAGCCTTTGTCACCATTGTAGAGTTTAACAAGCCTTGTCACCTTTGTAGAGTTTAACAAGCCTTTGTCACCATTGTAGAGTTCAACAAGCCTTTGTCACCTTTGTAGTTTAACAAGCCTTTGTCACCATTGTAGAGTTTAACAAGCCTTGTCACCTTTGTAGAGTTTAACAAGCCCTTTTCACCATTGTAGAGTTTAACAAGCCTTTTTCATCATTGTAGAGTTTAACAAGCCTTTGTCACCATTGTAGAGTTTAACAAGCCTTGTCACCTTTGTAGAGTTTAACAAGCCTTTGTCACCATTGTAGAGTTTAACAAGCCTTTGTCACCATTGTAGAGTTTAACAAGCCCTTGTCACTATTGTAGAGTTTAACAAGCCTTTGTCACCATTGTAGAGTTTAACAAGCCTTTGTCACCTTTGTAGTTTAACAAGCCTTTGTCACCATTGTAGTGTTCAACAAGCCTTTGTCACCTTTGTAGAGTTTAACAAGCCTTGTCACCTTTGTAGAGTTTAACAAGCCTTTGTCACCATTGTAGAGTTCAATAAGCCTTTGTCACCTTTGTAGAGTTTAACAAGCCTTGTCACCTTTGTAGAGTTTAACAAGCCTTTGTCACCATTGTAGAGTTTAACAAGCCCTTGTCACCATTGTAGAGTTTAACAAGCCTTTGTCACCATTGTAGAGTTTAACAAGCCTTTGTCACCTTTGTAGTTTAACAAGCCTTTGTCACCATTGTAGAGTTCAACAAGCCTTTGTCACCTTTGTAGAGTTTAACAAGCCTTGTCACCTTTGTAGAGTTTAACAAGCCTTTGTCACCATTGTAGAGTTTAATAAGCCTTTGTCACCTTTGTAGAGTTTAACAAGCCTTGTCACCTTTGTAGAGTTTAACAAGCCTTTGTCACCTTTGTAGAGTTTAACAAGCCTTTGTCACCATTGTAGAGTTTATCAAGCCTTTGTCACCTTTGAAGAGTTTAACACGCCTTTGTCACCATTGTAGAGTTCATCAAGCCTTTGTCACCATTGTAGAGTTTAACAACCCTTTGTCACCATTGTAGAGTTTAACAAGCATAATGCCATCATTGTAGAGTTTAACAAGCCTTTGTCACCTTTGTAGAGTTTAACAAGCCTAGTTTAAAAAACCTAATGCCATCATTGTCAAGTATGACAAATCTATAATTACAATCTCCATTATAGTATATAACAAGCCTAAACTTGCAATTTAGAGTCTATCCACACAGTTTTACTAGGCTCTATGCTGTTGGCTGCCAATTCTCCTTAAATAAGAATGAATTGTTCCAGATTCAAAGCAGGGGAGTCCCATTATACAAATTGTGTAAAAAAGAGCAGGTATTTGTATTACTTGTTATTGAATATAACTAAAGGTAGATGGCTTCAAATGGTTTACATTATACTTTAGGATATTTATTTGTTTTTGTTTTTTCAGGTATCTCTATGCAATCGGAAAGAATGTTTGGAAAAAATGGAAGAAACGTTATTTTGTTCTCGTCCAGGTAAGTTAATACATTTAAGTTTTAGAACAGATATGCTTTCATTTCTGTATCGCTGGAAAATTTTGATGACCTAAAGATTGAAATATGTAACATCTGAAAGGTTAAAACAACTTCAATATCTATACAGCAGTTACAATATTGTTAAACAAACCAGTATTTTGTCTCTCAGCATAAGTTCATCTGCAAGCTTTGTCTATTAGCATGAGTGCATCTGCAAAGCCTTTTTTGTCTGTCAGCTGGAATGCATCTGTCTATAGCATAAGTTCATCTGCAAATCCTTTTGTCTGTCAGCATTATTGCGTTTGTCTGTCAGCATGATTTCATCTGCAAATCCATTTGTCTGTCAGCTGGAGTGCATCTATCTGTTAGCATAAGTTCATCTGCAAATCCTTTTGTCTGTCAGCATAAGTGTATCTGTCTGTCAGTATAAGTTCATCTGCAAAGCCTTTTGTCTTCATCTGCAAATCCTTTTTTCTCTCAGCATGAGTGCATCTGTCTTTCAGCATAAGTTTATTTGCAAATCCTTTTGTCTGTCAGCTAGAATGCATCTGCCTGTCAGCATAAGTTCATCTGCAAATCATTTTGTCTCTCAGCATGAGTGCATCTGTCTGTCAGCAAAAGTTTATCTGCAAATCATTTTGTCTGTCAGCATAAATATGCATTTGCTAAGCTGTTCATCTGTCAGCATGAGTGCAGCTGCAAAACCCTTTGTTTACCAGCACATGATTTTCAATCCTGTTTCTAAAATAAAATCATTAAAACTGATGTGAAATGCATAGCAGTACCAGATTTAGTAATTCATATAATATTTGCATTTAAATGAAAATCAATGATGCTGGTTTTGACCTTTCACAGTTTAAGGGATGCTCTTCAAAGGCAGTTGGGAATTTTTCTGACATCTGTTGTTTTGTATGTTAATTCAAGGCTGTTATCCTGTAGTTGGAATAAAGATATTGGTTTTCATTAAAACAGTAGTATTTATGGAAAATTCAAACTAAGTATGGTAGTTTGCTGCATCTCTACTAGCTTAAGCAATATGGGCTTGTTCTTCTTTGTATATGAATAGTGCATCAGTAAAGTCAGGGATTTCAATAAAAACATACTTATATTGAACAGCCAAAAGTACAGAGATTGGTAGGCTGGCTATTCTGGTCTTTTACTGTCAATTATTGCAGCTTTCATTCAAAGACATGCTTGTTCTAAGCTATGCATTATCATATTTTATGATAATGAGGTGAATATGCAAGTCTATGGACCTGGCTTATGTGATATTTATCTTTGCCAAAGGTTGGTCATTGACCTGTTCATGACTGACCTATTGATTTCAGACTGAAAGATCATATGTCAAGGTCATTGTGACTTTTACCACTAAAAGCATGTGTGATCAAAAGCTTGAGCAAGATACAGCTTATAGTTTTCAGATTTGATGTGAAGTTTAGTCATGACCATTCCATGACCCTTACTGATTTTTAAGTCTGTAAGTTAAAATGGTCAAGGTCATTGTGATCCTAGTGACTTTGACCTTTTTAAGCCTGTCTTGCCAGTAACTAATGATCTCTTTGCATTCAGACGTACTATTAAATGAAAAAATTTGTCATGATTTTTAGATGACCTTTGTTTATTTTGAGGTCAGTAGGTCAAGGTCTTCATAAAAGTTGGCCTGTAGTCCTAAGATTTTGTAGTATGATTTGTAACATAACTTAATTGTCGCCATTAGAGGTGCATATATGTTTCACAAACACCTTTTGTTATTCAGGTATCTCAGTATACTTTTGCCATGTGTAGTTACCGGGAAAGAAAACCAGATCCCACAGAAATGATGCAGCTAGATGGTTTTACTGTTGACTACTGTGAACCAGTGCCTGGTAAGTATTGCATGACAAATATTTTTGTTTAGCCATCTGAGGCCATAATGCTCATTATGAACTCTGAATTGTTAATGGCTCTACATGTTTATTGTGTCTTACTATTGTCTGTAGTGGTTTCCTATGATTACTTTTGGCTCCACCCTATGAGTTGTTTGGTTTTTGTATACACTTTCATGTGGAAAATCTCTTAAGGAACAAGAAAACTAAAAATAGATATTAGATGTGTTGCTTGTCAGAAAGTTTATGCAAAGTGATTTGATGTGCAGTATGGTCTTCTGTACCTTTATCAAAACTTAGCTGTAGGGTGAAAATTAGCCCATGCCCCCCATCCCAAAATGTTACTTGGTTTGTTTAATATATATATTTGTTTTCTTTTTATAATTGAGCATTTATTGAGAGAAGTCTTTGATTGATGTACCTTGCATTAAAAAACTTTAGTTTCCAGTTTGATAGATTTTATTCCACATTACCACCTGTCAACAAAAGCAATGTTTTTCAGTTTCAAGTAGGTTGTTGTCTACTTACCTGGACTGAATACTTCAGAATACATTCAAATGGCATTCATCAATAAAACTGATATTTCCTGCTTTCTTATATTTTATTCAGAATTGGAGGGTGGGAAACATTTTTTCAACACAGTAAAGGAAGGTGATAACGTCACTTTTGCCTCTGATGATGAGAATGAGCGTGCATTGTGGGTTCAGGCAGTGTACCGAGCCACTGGACAGACACACAAACCAGTACCTCCAGTTGTTCAGACCAACAAAATCAGTAACACGCAAATTTCACGTATGCAGGGAGGTAGGTTGTTTGAACTTGTTCTTCAATTCATTTTATCATTTCTGTTGATAATTAATATCCTATGTAAAACTGTCAAATTAGTTTAAATATTATACCCTTAACATAGATTTTATTTGTAACACATCAATGACTTTAATAGTGAAATACATTTTAGAGATGATCTGTTGTAAATATCTTCAATGATAAATGTAATATGTCTTTATGAATGAAGACTTTTTACGCACTATCATTCAGTCATGAAATATATGAATATAAATCACTGATAATATATTTAAGGAAAAATTGTTCATTTAATTTTGAAGTTTGCAGTGATACTTCTAGTATAACCAGAACTGATTGAGAAATATTAAGAATTATTAAGATTTCTAGTAATTTATTTTTAGATGTTTTTCTGTTTTAAATTTCACATCATGATACATGTATCTTATAGTTTAGGATAGGTAGATCTCATTCCTTCATAAGCTTTAACCACTTCTTATTATAGTATCTTTGAACACCCAGTATCATTGAGTGTAAACCCATCTTTAATATGTAGCAAATACATCAATAAAAAATAAATGTGAATTATATTTCATTAACACTAAACCTGAGGACAATACCAGATTCTACCCATGCAACTATGTACAGACTAATATCAGTTGGCTCATCTGTGCAATGATTTGTGCTGATTTTGGTCTGCACTGTTTGTTTATGTCTAGGTTGACTCCCCTTGTGATTGAGGGGTTGCCCTTAAGGGCTGAGGCATCAGAATTGCAACCACTGTTTATCCCTGCGTGATTGTAAGAGGTGACTAAATGGGTTGGAATTAATGGAGTCTATGCATCTTTTAGCTCCAGCGGTTGGATTGGTTTTGACCCATGGTGTTGTTTTAAGTTTGTAACACCTGACATTAGCCAAAATCATCTTTCCTGTTTTTAGCTCACCTGTCACAAAGTAACAGGGTGAGCTTTTGTGATCGCTTTTCGTCCGGCATCCGTCCGTCCATCGTCCGTCCGTCGTCCGTCCGTAAACTTTTGCTTTAAATGACATCTCCTCATAAACCACTGAGCCAATTTCATCCAAACTTCACAGGAATGTTCCTTTGGTGGTCACCTTTAAAAATTGTTCAAAGAATTTAATTCCATGCAGAACTCTGGTTGCCATGGCAACCAAAATAAAAAAAATATTAAATATCTTCTTTTAAAAAACCATAAGAGCTAGAGCTTAGATATTTGGCATGAAACATCTTCTAGTGAGTGTCTACCAAGTTTGTTCAAATAAAAGCCCTGGGGTCAAAATTGGCCCTGCCCCTGGGGGTCATTGATTTTCCCTATATGCATATAGTAAAAACTTAAAAAATCTTCTTTTAAAGAACCGTAAGAGCTAGAGCTTAGATATTTGGCATGAAACATCTTCTAGTGAATGTCTACCAAGTTTGATCAAATAAAAGCCCTGGGGTCAAAATTGGCCCCGCCCCAGGGGGTCATTGATTTTCCCTATATGCATATAGTAAAAACTTAAAAAATCTTCTTTTAAAGAACCCAAAGAGCTAGAGCTAAGATATTAAGCATGAAACATCTTTTAGTGAGTGTCTACCAAGTTTGTTCAAATTAAAGCCCTGGGGTCAGAATTGGCCCTGCCCCGGGGGTCATTGATTTTCCCTATATGCATATAGTAAAAATTTAAAAATCTTCTTTTAAAGAACCATAAGAGCTAGAGCTTAGATATTTGGCATGAAACATCTTCTAGTGAATGTCTACCAAGTTTGTTCAAATAAAAGCCCTGGGGTCAAAATTGACCCTGCCCCAGGGGGTCATAGATTTTCCCTATATGCATATAGTAAAAACATTAAAAATCTTCTTTTAAAGAACCCAAAGAGCTAGAGCTAAGATATTAAGCATGAAACATCTTCTAGTGAGTGTCTACCAAGTTTGTTCAAATTAAAGCCCTGGGGTCAAAATTGGCCCCGCCCCGGGGGTCATTGATTTTCCCTATATGCATATGGTAAAAACTTAAAAAATCTTCTTTTAAAGAATCATAAGAGCTAGAGCTTAGATATTTGGCATGAAACATCTTCTAGTGAATGTCTACCAAGTTTGTTCAAATAAAAGCCCTGGGGTCAAAATTGACCCTGCCCCAGGGGGTCATAGATTTTCCCAATATGCATATAGCAAAAACTTAAAAAATCTTCTTTTAAAGAACCCAAAGAGCTAGAGCTAAGATATTTAGCATGAAACATCTTCTTATGAGTGTCTACCAAGTTTGTTCAAATAAGCTCTGGGGTCAAAATTGGCCCTGCCCCAGGGGGTCATTGATTTTCCCTATATGCATATAGTAAAAACTTAAAAAATCTTCTTTTAAAGAACTCAAAGAGCTAGAGCTAAGATATTTAGCATGAAACATGTTCTAATGGGGGTGTACCAAGTATGTTCAAATAAAAGCCCTGGGGTCAAAACAGGCCCCGCCCGGGGGGGGGGGGATGTCATTGATTTTCCTTATATGTGTATAGCAAAAACTTAAAAATCTTCTTTGGAAAAACCCAAATAGCTAGAGTTTAGATATTAAGCATGAAACATCTTAAAGTAAATATCTACAAAGTTTGTTAAAATAAACGCCCGGGGGTCAAAACTGGCCCTGCCCCAGGGGTGACATTGTTTTTAACTATATGTGTATAGTAAAAACTTTAAAAATCTTCTTTTAAAAATGCCAATGAGCTAGAACTTAGATGTTTAGCATGAAACATCTTCTTATGGGTGTCTACCAAGTCTGTTCAAATAAACAAATAAAAGCCCTTGGGTAAAAATTTGCCGGGGGGTGGGGGGCCTATATACAGGTGAGCGACCTCAGGGCCATCATGGCCCTCTTGTTGCACAGTATAATCGAAATTGTGCTGGTGCGCCATAAAACCAAACGAAATGTCCAGGTTGACAGCTCAATTTTAGTATTTTGATATTGAAATCCCTTATAATGGACTGTTCCAAATTATAAGCAGGGGCAAATCCATTACACAAATACAGCAGGTTAAAGTTGCCTTTAGAAGATTAGGTCACTACTCTGGATATATACAGCCTAAATATTAATTGATTAGTTAAAATGAAAATCTGGAAAAAGGATGATCCCTTGTAAAACAATGAAACAACAATATTACAGTGCACTCCGGATACAACGAGATCGTCGGGACTTCGGATGATTCCTCATTATAACTGGGTCTCGTTATAACCGGGACAAGAAATCCGACACCGTTGAGCATCATTTATTTCTACTTTCACTTTCGCGTGCATCCTTTTTGAAGAGTATATAATGGGAGGTAATTCTTTGCAATCAGACGTTTTGTTTTATTTAAATATACATTTATATAAATATATCAAGCTATCATAGAATTTAAACAAAACATGAAAACACAACCTACGTCTAACCGCGTGTGTTTTTTCATTAATATGAACATTTTAAAATTCGTTTTCAAAAGTCACGCAGTGCATTTCTCATGAACACCTAATAACACCGCAAGAAATTAGCCGCTTCCTTTGTGCTAATCACTCAATGAAATTGTTAAATTGTTATGACATTTCGTCACCTTAAGGACAATTTAGCACTGAGTGCTGACAAAACAAGGCTGACACATTTGATCGCTAATTGCTCGACCCATTATCTCGTCCCGCGTCAATTATTTCTTCCTTAATTGACCATTATTATTGGTCATCTTTATTTTTCTCAAGGTGACAAACTGACGCAGACGAAGTGCAAATGAAGTGACCTCATTAAAATTGTGAAAAATACGCATGGGACGGCGAAATTATGTACGTTGTAACCAATATCACGCTAAAACCGATCTCGTTATAAACGATAAAAAATGAAAGGAAAATAGAAGGACAAGGCCGGGACACAGTAGAATGTACGTTGTAAGCGGTATCTTGTTAAAACCGATCTCGTTATAAGTGGAGTAGACTGTATATGCTATTAAAGCTTATATAAGAAATTAGATCAACTCTCACATCTATTGGAATTTAAAGTCAGATACCTCTAATTATCAACTGTCTCCTATTACAGTACACAATTTAATGAAAATAATATTAGATCTTATTCCTATAACACCTGAGATAGCTACATTTATTATACTAAACTTTGCAATAAGAAATTAAAAAAAGATAAGGTCAACATTGAGTTTTATTTTAGGTTTGTGGTTTCTGCTTATATAACCAAGTCTGTTGTCCTTGACTGAGATAAAAAATAATAATTTTGCTTGATTATGAAAACATGTTATCATACATATTATACATAAGTGGTATTGTGAAGTGAGGAAAAACAATTTAATGGACTGAAAAGGGTTCAAATGTAAATACCCTGGTTGAAGAGGCAGAAACATTACCTATTAGATCCACTGTCATCATTAACATATAGCATAGGACTAGACTTCATAATAATCCTTTCCACACTAAATATCTTAAATGAACTTGTCTATCTTTCAATCTGGACAAAACCATTCATCATTTTTAGGGAAAATTTGAAAATATGTACTGACTGAATAGTGAGCAGTGTAAACCATTATCAAACAGCACAGAATATTGGTGCTGATTTTGGTCCGTACTGGTCACATGGGTAGAATCTATTGCGGCCAGGAAACTATTGGTTATGAAGGTGTAAAAGTGACATGACTGTGTCTTCTTTGTAATCACTGATTATCTAACAAAATGATTGGAACCATACCCATAATATGGTAACCTTCCCACTAACCACAAGTGCATGTTCAAAGATAATCATTATTTGCAAATAAAAAAAATCTATAAATAGGTCACAGGGTCAAAGGTTATGATAAGATGCAAATGCATGATAATTTTAAAGTTTCAGTATCCAATTGTCTGATTCCAGATTTTGAGTTTTGTCAATGGTATGACTGGTTCTCAAGTTCTAGTTTGCAGTTTTTGACCCAGTACGTTAAGGTGGTGAACCCACTTAACTTTTGAATAAAAATCAAAGTTGAAGAAAATTCAAATGAAAGTAATTAGCTTATTAAAGGCAATTTTTTAGCTCACCTGTCACAAAGTGACAGGGTGAGCTTTTGTGATCGCTTTTCGTCCGGCGTCGGTCCGTCGTCCGTCCGTCCGTAAACTTTTACTTTAAATGACATCTCCTCATAGACCACTAAGCCAATTTCATCCAAACTTCACAGGAATGTTCCTTTGGTGGTCACCTTTAAAAAATGTTCAAAGAATTTAATTCCATGCAGAACTCTGGTTGCCATGGCAACCGAAAGAAAAAACTTTAAATATCTTCTTTTAAAAAACCATAAGAGCTAGAGCTTAGATATTTGGCATGAAACATCTTCTAGTGAGTCTCTACCATGTTTGTTCAAATAAAAGCCCTGGGGTCAAAATTGGCCTCGCCCCGGGGGGTCATTGATTTTCCCTATATGCATATAGTAAAAACTTAAAAAATCTTCTTTTAAAGAACCAAAAGAGCTAGAGCTAAGATATTTAGCATGAAACATGTTCTAATGGGTGTCTACCAAGTTTGTTCAAATAAAAGCCCTGGGGTCAAAATTGGCCCCGCCCCAGGGGGTCATTGATTTTCCTTATATGCATATAGTAAAAAACTTAAAAAATCTTCTTTTAAAAAACTCAAAGAGCTATGGCTAAGATATTGAGCATCAAACATGTTCTAATAGGTGTCTACCAAGTTTGTTCAAATAAAAGCCCTGGGGTCAAAATTGGCCCGCCCCAGGGGGTCATTGATTTTCCCTATATGCATGTAGTAAAAACTTAAAAATCTTCTTTTAAAGAACCAAAAGAGTAAGAGCTAAGATATTTAGCATGAAACATGTTCTAATAAGTGTCTACCAAGTTTGTTCAAATAAAAGCCCTGGGGTCAAAATTGGCCCCGCCCCGGGGGGTCATTGATTTTCCCTATATGCATATAGTAAAAACTTAAAAAATCTTCTTTTAAAGAACTCAAAGAGCTATGGCTAAGATATTTAGCATCAAACGTGCTCTTATAGGTGTCTACCAAGTTTGTTCAAATAAAAGCCCTGGGGTCAAAATTGGCACCGCCCCAAGGGTCATTGATTTTCCTTTATATGTGTATAGCAAAAACTTAAAAAATCTTCTTTGAAAAAACCCAAATAGCTAGAGTTAAGATATTAAGCATGAAACATCTTTTAGTGAGTGTCTACAAAGTTTGTTCAAATAAAAGCCCTGGGGTCAAAATTGGCCCTGCCCCAGGGGGTCATTGATTTTCCCTATATGCATATAGTAAAAACGTAAAAAATCTTCTTTTAAAGAACCAAAAGAGTTAGAGCTAAGATATTTAGCATGAAACATGTTCTAATAAGTGTCTACCAAGTTTGTTCAAATAAAAGCCCTGGGGTCAAAATTGGCCCCGCCCCGGGGGTCATTGATTTTCCCTATATGCATATAGTAAAAACTTTAAAAATCTTCTTTTAAAGAACTCAAAGAGCTATGGCTAAGATATTTAGCATCAAACATGTTCTAATAGGTGTCTACCAAGTTTGTTCAAATAAAAGCCCTGGGGTCAAAATTGGCACCGCCCCAGGGGGTCATTGATTTTCCTTATATGTGTATAGCAAAAACTTAAAAAATCTTCTTTGAAAAAAACCCAAATAGCTAGAGTTAAGATATTAAGCATGAAACATCTTTTAGTGAGTGTCTACAAAGTTTGTTCAAATAAAAGACCTGGGGTCAAAATTGGCCCCGCCCCGGGGTCATTGATTTTCTTTATATGTGTATAGCAAAAACTTAAAATCTTCTTTGAAAAAACCCAAATAGCTAGAGTTTAGATATTAAGCATGAAACATCTTCTAGTAAGTGTCTACAAAGTTTGTTCAAATAAAAGCCCTGGGGTCAAAACTGGCCCGGCCCCAGGGTGTCATTGTTTTTAACTATATGTGTATAGTAAAAACTTTAAAAAAATCTTCTTTTAAAAAGCCCAATGAGCTAGAGCTTAGATGTTTAGCATGAAACATCTTCTTATGGGTGTCTACCAAGTTTGTGCAAATAAAAGCCCTTGGGTTAAATTAGCCCTGCAACGTTGGGGGGGGGGGGTTGGGGGCCTATATACAGGTGAGCGACCTTGGGGCCATCATGGCCCTCTTGTTATAGTTTTCCACCATAGACAAATGGGTGTTTAGCCTTTGTTCCTATTTATTTATAACCTTTGACCTCACCCTTACAGGATAAGAAGGAACTGTTCTTATATAGACTCAGGCACCATTTACTAACAAATGCATGTTACTATGTATTAATATAGATGCAGATCGTGCCAGGAAGCATGGCCTGGACGAGTTTGTTCAAGCATATCCCTGTGACTTTGACCATCATGACTTCTTTAAAATGTTACAAACTCTAACCCTCGACTACAGATTGAATGATGCATATACTTGCTTGGTAAGATTTTCTAAACTATACTTGATGTATGAATGCTTTATCTACATATTATAGCATGGTGTTATGAAAATGATTTTTAAAGTGTGAGTAAGTGATTATCCTAATGGCACAAGGTCTGTTGGGGGTGTCAGTGGCCGAGAGGTTAAGGTTGTTGACTTCAAACCACTTGCCCCTCACCTCTATGGGTTTGAATTCCTACAGAGACTTTGGATTTTTTCATGTGAGGAAGCTATCCAGCTAGCTTACGGAACGTCGGTGGTTCTACTCAGGTGCCCGTTTGTGCCTGAAATAATGCACAGAAGGGCACCTGATTTCTTCCTCCACCAGTAAAGCTGGAAAGTCGCAATATGACCTATACTGTGTCGATGTGAAAACCCAAAACAAACAAAAAAACAAGGTCTGATGCTCAAATCTTAATTTCATGTCTGAATGGTGACTATTACCTCAATGCTGGATGTTAATATAGCTTTCGGGCTGAATGTTCATTAAAAGCTGAAACCTTGTTGTTCATTTACATGCTGATTCATAGCTGAAGGTTACATGCTCATTAATAGTTGAAGGCTTTTTGCTGTTTCATAGCTGAAGCCTGAATGCTCATTAATAGTTGAAGGCTTTTTGCTGTTTCATAACTGAAGGCTGGATGCTCATTAATAATTGAAGGCTTTTTGCTGTTTCATAGCTGAAGGCTGGATGCTCATTAATAATTGAAGGCTTTTTGCTGTTTTATAGCTGAAGGCTGGATGCTGATTAATAGCAGAAGACATTTTGCTGTTTCATAGCTGAAGGCTGGATGCTGATTAATAGTTGAAGGCTTTTTGCTGTTTCATAGCTGAAGCCTGAATGCTCATTAATAGTTGAAGGCTTTTTGCTGTTTCATAACTGAAGGCTGGATGCTCATTAATAGTTGAAGGCTTTTTGCTGTTTCATAGCTGAAGGCTGGCTGCTCATTAATAATTGAAGGCTTTTTGCTGTTTCATAACTGAAGGCTGGATGCTCATTAATAGTTGAAGGCTTTTTGCTGTTTCATAACTGAAGGCTGGATGCTCATTAATAGTTGAAGGCTTTTTGCTGTTTCATAGCTGAAGCCTGAATGCTCATTAATAGTTGAAGGCTTTTTGCTGTTTCATAGCTGAAGCCTGAATGCTCATTAATAGTTGAAGGCTTTTTGCTGTTTCATAGCTGAAGGCTGGATGCTCATTAATAGTTGAAGGCTTTTTGCTGTTTCATAGCTGAAGGCTGGATGCTCATTAATAGTTGAAGGCTTTTTGCTGTTTCATAGCTGAAGCCTGAATGCTCATTAATAGTTGAAGGCTTTTTGCTGTTTCATAACTGAAGGCTGGATGCTCATTAATAGTTGAAGGCTTTTTTGCTGTTTCATAGCTGAAGGCTGGCTGCTCATTAATAGTTGAAGGCTTTTTGCTGTTTCATAACTGAAGGCTGGATGCTCATTAATAGTTGAAGGCTTTTTGCTGTTTCATAGCTGAAGCCTGAATGCTCATTAATAGTTGAAGGCTTTTTGCTGTTTCATAGCTGAAGCCTGAATGCTCATTAATAGTTGAAGGCTTTTTGCTGTTTCATAGCTGAAGCCTGAATGCTTATTAATAATTGAAGGCTTTTTGCTGTTTCATAGCTGAAGGCTGGATGCTCATTAATAATTGAAGGTTTTTTTGCTGTTTCATAGCTGAAGCCTGAATGCTCATTAATAATTGAAGGCTTTTTGCTGTTTCATAGCTGAAGCCTGAATGCTCATTAATAATTGAAGGCTTTTTGCTGTTTCATAGCTGAAGGCTGGATGCTCATTAATAGCAGAAGACTTTTTGCTGTTTCATAGCTGAAGGCCAGATGCTCATTAATAGCTGAAGGCTTCACTATTACATAGCTGAAGGCTAGATGCTCATAAAGAGCTAAAGGCTTTCTGCAGTTTTATAGTTGAAGGCTGGATGCTCATTGAAAGCTGAAGTATTTGTGCTGATTTACAGCTGAAGGGTGGATGCCCATTGAAAGCTGAAGTATTTGTGCTGATTCATAGCTGAATGCTGATTTACAACTGAAGGCTGATTTAAAGCTGAAGGCTGGATGCTCATAAATTGCTCACAGATGAATGGTAACTAACAGCTGAAGGCTGGATGGTTACAAATATCTGAAGCCTTAATGACTCATTCACAGCTGAAGGCTGGATGCTGATCATTTCAGTATATTAGATTAAGCAATATGATATACCCTGTTTACTCGTTGATTCAGGGCATTAGGTTGTATTTCTACTCTTCAGAAAGTGTTGAAGGACATCCTTAAGGAAATGTAAAAATGATTAAGATCTGTTGTGCATGTTTATTGCAGTGCTCTTTTTCATGCTTTGAGAGATACCTAAATAATCTTAAGTTCAAATTAAACCCTGTCTGTTGTTTTTTTTGAAAAATGAAATACTAAATTGTATTACTGAAGATATCACATTAGTGGTAATATATATTTCAGGGTTGGTTCAGTCCAGGTCAGGTGTTTGTGCTGGATGAGTACTGTGCTAGATACGGTGTTCGCGGCTGTCACCGGCACCTTTGCTACCTCAATGACCTGTTAGAACGAGCGGAGAATAGCATCATGATAGACCCTACACTTATACACTACAGTTTTGCCTTCTGTGCTTCACATGTACATGGAAACAGGTAAGACTACTTATTTGTAGCTTCACCATAATCATAATTATATAGATTGACTCTATTGTCACTTATGTACTTAAATAAGGGTAATATTTGTTTCAGGATTGGTTTAGTATTGGTCAAGTGTTTGCTTAATCTATTTTAATCCCTTCATATTAGATAATGATATATAACTGTATATAGTGAGCACAAACCTTCTAACCAGGGCATCGGTGTTTGCAACTACATCATTGTCACAACTTGGTTAAAAAAAAGATTTGTACCACCAAAAGAAGCTATATTGTGGGGTTCTAGTAAAGTTTTAAAAACAAGTATATAACCATGACCTGCATATACAGTCAAACGTGTATTAAGCGACCGCGCAAGGGAAACATCCGAAACGGTCGCTTAATGAAACGGTCTCTTAAGACAGTCAGCATGATATAAAAGTCAAAATTTATAAATGACATCTTTTTTATGCAGTTGGAATGTTTTTCAACTTCATTTTTATATAAATGTTGAATAATAAGTACGCTCCGATAATCTAAATGGATGCAAATATGAAAAATAACTTTCTGATATTTATTAACAAAACAGTTTTGATCCATTACGTACATGTTTGACATTTTTCCAGAATTTTTTAACTTCTCCGTTGTATACACCATCACAGTAGGGGCGGAGTGTTGCATTGTTTATCCGATATTATTGGATAGTACACGTCACGCGTATACTTAACTTCATTTGCATACGCTAAAACGGTATGGGAAATAGAGTTTTTCACATGTTTATTTGTTGTGTTTTGATTGTTGACACTTGTGACATTACGAGGTGGCGTTCTCTAAAAACTTAATTACTTGACAGGTAAAAGTGGTCGTTTAATGAAAAGATTGATGTCATTAGCGGTCGCTGGTCGCGATGAGCAAAAGTCGCTTAATACATTAAAGATATAGAGAGAAAATGATCGGGGGGAATTTAAAGTGGTCGTTTAAGACAAAAGTCGCTTAATACACGTGGTCGCATGGGCAAGTTAGACTGTATAGGCAAAAGAAAATTAAGCTGTCATGGATTGTTGGCAAAGTTTGATCAAGTTAAATGAATTTCATGTATATAATAAGAAATAGGGAAAAAGATGACTTACCAATGTACAGCACTGCCAAGATAAAATTTTAGTCTCAAAATGAAACTGCTAAAATCTTTGCAAACTATTGAGTGTTCTACTTTTTGTACAAGAGGTTAGTTCCATTAGATTTCAGTAGTATTTGAGATAATTTTGATTGAAATACAAGATAGTTTACATAACCTTTGCAGTTTTGAAATAACCTCCTAAGGCCTTTGATAGTTTTTTTACAGTCAGAAACTAAACACATTAATGGTAGGTACTATATAGCTGTGTTATATGTTTTTCAGACCAGATTGTATAGGGACAGTATTATGGGCTGAGAGAGACAAGTTTGATGAAATCAAAGAAAGACTTAGAATTCTGCTGGAAAATCAAATAACTCATTTCAGGTATACAAAACATGTTGAACACATGGATGTTTTACCTTGCTTTTTTGCACAGAGATTCTGTGGTGGAATTCGAAATGTTGCAGTTGAGTAGGGTACCATTTTAGCTTAACCCAAGGGCCATAACTCAACTTGACATTTAGTGAGAATTAAGCCCCTTTTTGTACATGGAAAATGTTGTTAAGGTTTTTATACCCCCGCACAACAAAGTTGTAAGGGGGGTATACTGGAATCAGCTTGTCCGTCCGGCCGTCCGTCCGTCCGTCCGGCTGTCCGTTGGTTTTTTCTTGTCCGCCCAATAACTTAAGATTCCTTTGACCCTTAGTCTTCATATTTGGCATGGAGGTTAGTCATGATTAGTAGATGACCCCTATTGATTTTGAGGTCAAATGTCAAGGTCACAGGGGCCTTGACTTCAAAAAGCTTGGGTAAGGTAAAAAAACCTTGTTCGCCCAATAACTTGAGATTCCTTTGACCCACAGTCTTCATATTTGGCATGGAGGTTAATCATGATTAGTAGATGACCCCTATTGATTTTGGGGTCAAAGGTCAAGGTCCCAGGGGCCTTGACTTCAAAAAGCTTGTCCGCCCAAGAACTTAAGATTCCTTTGACCCACAGTCTTCATATTTGGCATGGAGGTTAGTCATGATTAGTAGATGACCCCTATTGATTTTGAGGTCACCAGGTCAAAGGTCAAGGTCACAGGGGCCTTGACTTCAAAAAGCTTGTCTGACCAATAACTTAAGATTCCTTTGACCCACAGTCTTCATATTTGGCATGGATGTTGGTCATGACTATAAGGTGACCCCTATTGATTTTGAGGTCACTGGGTCAAAGGTCAAGGTCACAGGGACCTTGACAAAAAAAGCTTTTTTTCTCAATTGCTAAAGTATGGTAATCCTGTCCGCAAGGTATTGATTTTGACATTTTCACATTTGAAGCATGTAGAATACATAACTTAGCAATGCACTGGCTTAGTAACCTCAGATTTGGCAGGGAGGTTGTCCTTGAGCTCTAAATGGCCACTGTTGATTCTGACAAAGTGGTATGCGGGGGTATTCACGCCATGATAGTGGCAGTTCTAGTTTATATAGTCATGTATTATCAAATTATCAAAACATTTGATTAAAAAAGTAGTTACATTGGAGATGCATCTAATAATGTAAGGCTAAAGATTTAATGTGGCTTTGCTCTGCATTCTTGTAAAATTAGAATTTAAACCACAGTCTCTCGCTTATTTCAATTCATTGTGAATAATCATGAACAAGTTTATTTTTTTATGTAATATGAAAAATGACTGAGTCATTTTATATGATGATTAATTTTAACACATAACCTGCTGAAGTTATGTAGTGAATTTGCCTTGCTCTAAATTTGAAACGTTACATTCAATATTTAAAGGATTTCAAAATCAAAACACACAAATTGAGCTACCAAATGTATAGAGCCAGGTCAAACTGTATTGATGTGAAGGCTAGACTGTCTCTACACTGGTTGCAAAGGCCAATCACTTTGAGGTCAAGGGTAAAAAGAAGTTAATAATTATAAAGTCAGTTTTATATACCATAGATTCTTATGTTTCCAGGTACTCATTTCCATTTGGACGACCAGAAGGGGCTTTAAAAGCAACTCTGTCACTCCTGGAAAGGGTAAGATTTGTTTATACAGCACCTTAGTTGAAAGTAAGATTCTGTTAAATCCTGTAAAAGGGTCAATTATGATATGATGATATTCAATGATTTTATAGAACAATTTCTTTTTAAATATGAAGTGGTTGCTTTCACTTTCGCAAGGAATTGAAACTTCTGTACATACCAGAGCAGAGGTACTGTGCGATTTCATGATGAATTACATAGAAAGTGAACTGCACCATCTGGGAATGTCCTGGTTGAAGTTTTAATTTTGCTTTATATTTAGTTTTTAAAATAACTGCCTCTCAAACCAGAGTTCTAGAGTTGGAGACCTTCTCTGTTATGACCATGTTTCCTTAAATGACACCAGTAAAGGTAAACTCCAGGAAATGGAGTCTAGAGTTGTTGTAATAAGCATCAAGCTTTATCAGAATCAAACTATATAGTATATATATATGTAAACTTTGGGCATCTAAAGGTGAAAGTTTATATAGAGGTCTAATGCACTAACTGAAAATGTAAGTCAGATCATGATTCATAGTAAGATAAGTGACGAGTTTTGATTAGCAGGTAAGACAAACCTATAATTTACAAAAGCATGTAAGTTTTATTAGCACTTTCATATTAAAATGTCATGTTTCCAGATTCATGCTAATTATTATAAAAAATTGCAGGAAGTCGGCCAAGTAGGAAAGGTATTGTTAAGTGTTCAAAATGCATTACTTTTATAGGTAGCCTTATAAACCTAAGGCTATACAAGTTTCAGAATAGTGAAAATGAAAGGAGAGGACAACCATGAGTTCATGGAGTTCTTGGTCCAATCCTCTCTAATGTATGAATGATCTTCATGTATATATCTTGAATGAAGATATGTTTTAACCAAAGTAGTGAAATAAAGTAGTGAAATATTAGCATGTAAGAGATATGATAATCTTCAATCATTTAGGAATAAAAAGATAAGTACTCTCAGCCATATAAAACAGTGTCACATAGATTTTGACTATTCACATATACAGTAAACTCTGCTTTTAACCATTTTCAAGAGACCACCAAATTTATTTCGTTTTATTCGGATATGGTAATATCTGAGAGACAATCAATTAGAAAACAAAAGTAAGGACCTTGACAACAGCACCAGTATAGGTGGTATATCATTATAAGCAATATCGTTTTAAGTGGAGTTTACTGTATTTTGAGCTATTAAGTTATAAATTTGAAAATTTGTGCTTTTTAAATGTATACCAATACATGTTGGAAAAAACAACATTATTTTTTGTTGTGTTTGTAGGTACTGATGAAAGATATAGTAACCCCAGTACCCCCAGAAGAGGTCCGGTCTGTGATAAAGAAATGCCTGGAAAATGCTGCCCTTGTTAACTATACAAGAATCTCAGAATATGCCAGAATAGAAGGTATACATGTGTGCATGATTATTTGTCTTTGATCTTATTTTGCGTTTTTATACAGCCGAAAGTTAGAGGGATGGTTTCAACTTCTTGTTTGTTACAAGAAATATGTGTAAATAATAACCTGTAGGAGGTACCAAAATTGATGAGCTTCTGCCACAAGTATAAGCCAAGTTCTGTGCAGTCTGACCAGGCTCTATACTGTTGGTAGCTCAATTTGTGTATTTTGATTTTTTAAATCCCTTAAACTTTAAATGGATTGTTCCAATTTAAAGCACAGCAAATCCAAATAACACAAATACAGCAGGTTGAGAAGAGTAGTTTAAATTTTTTTTTAAAAGTTAAGATTATGAAAATCATCATGTTTTTACATTTCTTTTTAGAGAATAATCCATATACAAATGGTAAGTGTGCATATGGCATAAATGCCATGTTGGGTCCTTTACCATACTGTATATAATATATATATATTATAACTATAACCCTGTACCATACCATAGGTTAATTATGAATATGTCTTTATTTCAGATGGTAGGTTGTAAAACATAGGGCAGCAATGCCTTAATGGGTCTGTAACTATATACCATACAGTAGGAATCACCCATTAGTACACTATAGCAGATATTTTACTGTACCATACCATACACTGTAACATTCATATCATATTTTATGATAACTGTAGAGCTTATGTATTACCTTAAATGCTATACATTTTTCAAATTATTCATTTAAGAAGTGTTATTTAAGTTGTTTAGAATCTTTACTGTGTACTTAAGTGCTAGGTACAACTATTTGTAAGATTATAAAGTACTTTTATGCCCAGACAATGATGGATCAGCAGGCATTTCGTTCTTGCCCAGTATCGTCTGCATACTACTTTAAGAAATATTTCTGACCTTGACCTATAAATGACCTTGAGCCTAAAAGGTCAATTTTTTTTAACAGGTTTTTACCTGGCATGTCAAATATTCACAAATTTAAGACATTTTGCAATTTTATTATTTATTTATGAACTGATTTAAGATTCATGCAGTTGTATCTGTGATGAACAATAAGAAAATTAAGATTTTGGTTATATGCAGATATTAATAAAGTTAAGATTGTTTTGTTGTTGTAATTTTTTTTAAGCATTAATGATTAATGATATTTAATATACTAATGCTTTTACTGCAACTGTGTAGATCTCCATTGTATAGTCATCCATCAGCTTGAATTAAGATCTTTCTTTTTTTTTTACACCTTATCATTTTTAATCAGAATGTTTATTATTTTTTATGTAACAGGAACTGAATAAGGTAGTTTTGTTTTTCGATGTAATTCATGACAGCTTTTTGTTTTATATCCTAATATCAGCTAAACATGGGAAGTCAGGTGATTTCAGTGTTGTTTTGTGCTTATTGTACAAATTGTTACTCAAGCTTTTTGTAACCACAGTTCCAATATGACCTTTCCCAGAAGGGTCAATTACATGTTTATTTAGGAAAAAATTATCTCCCTTGTTACATGTAAATCTTTTGAGAGAGGTCATTGTAATAAGTCAGAAAGTGTATATATTTTTATCTTGAACTCTGGAAATATGGGGTTTTCCATATTTAATCCTGAGGTACAAAACAAACTTTTTACCATTATAGCTTCACAGTGCACTACCCTTTACAAAATGGTGATCAATGCATTACGCTTGTTATAATATTGATATATTTACCAAGTTATATCTATAAAAGTCTGTTTTTACCTTGGAATAGATAGGAAATACCCACATTTGCTGAGTTTCGGAGTATCTCTATGAACTGAAAATTTATAAATATTCAAAGCGTCAGTAGTAACAGTGACTTGGTACCGACACTAGCCTGAGTCTTCGCATCCATGCAGTCTGACCTGGTTATGTTCTGCTGACAGCTCAATTTTATTATCTTAGAATATGGACTGTTTAAAATTCAAAGGGCAAGACTATAACACAAATTTAGCAATGTAAGGTTTCATGAGCCCTCAGTATTTTCAGAATGATATTCATGTTCATATTTTTCATTGCCATAGTCCCCTGAAACATTATTTAGTATCACTCAAGATGTCCGGTTTGTGACCCTTTGGAAAGGTCATGTTGGAACAAAGTGTAAAATTAGTGGACTAAATGTTGTAAAGAATATGTTCGTAATGGTAAATTATTCAGTAAATTTGGTTCTATATTAAAACATGTTATTGATATTTGACTTAAAAGGTAAAAAGAGGGGGTGGTGTGCACCACTCTGGAAGCAACAAATTGCATTGAAACTTGAGTTGGTTTAAATTAAATTTTTCATTTTGTGTGCAAATTCTTATGTTTGATTTCTGTGTACGTTTAACATATTATATCTGAAATGTCTTAGACTAGACTTAGTAACTGTATTTGTACACATGACTATGTCTTTTTACAGTTTAAATGGTTTTTTTTTTTTAAATGTTCTCATATTCTGGAGAAGTTTTGCTGTGTTGGTTTTTTGAAAAACAGAATCCGCTATCTTATGTATTATGAATGTCTTTGTTATAAAAGGGAACCAAAGTGGTTAAGGTGTTTTGCCTCTCAAACCAGGGATCGTGGGTTTTTTGGCCTTATGTTTGTCTCATGACCATGTGTCCTCAAATAACGCTAGTACTGGTCAGTTCCAGAAAGAAGACAGGTTTTAAGAAGCTACAAGTCTTCTTCACCGTCGAGTTTAAATTAATGATGTTTAAACTACATGTTATTAAAGAATTCTTTTTACTGCACCTTCAGAATCGTACCAGGAGGAAGTGGGTCAGAAGAAACGTCTTGAGGACGTGATGCACCTTGCTGAACTTTGTATAGAAGTGTTACAACAGAACGAGGAGCATCATGCCGAGGTAAATATTTCCCATCCCAAAAAACGGCACTTCACATTCATAGAACTTTTACCATATAACCCTTGAATTTTAACTTTATGCATGAATAGTTCCTGCTTAGCTCAACCATGACTGTTTTTGTTTTATATTTTGGAAAAAGTTGACTATTATTTATTATATTTTACATTTAAACCACTTTATTTTCAAAAATCAGTAAAATAAAAGTTAAAAAACACCTGTGAATATGTTCTAAAAAAAAGATTATTAAATAAGTGTATTGTAATTATCACTTTTTGGGTTCTGCTAATATTGAATGTAGGAGAAGGTCATTAAGTACACTTTCAGATTTTCTCTATGTGGGAAAAAAAACAGAAAGTAACAAAAAAAAAAATGTATTAATTTTTTATTAACGATTTTTTATTTCTATTGGCTTTTTATATAGTTTTTTTTTTCATATATAAATCTATAAATTGTAAGGTAATTTTTTTTTTTTAGAATTTTTAAGTTTTTGTTTTTGATAAAAAAAGAAAAACAATAAAAATTAACAGTTTTTTTTATGATAGTGAAAATCTTTGTGTCATTTTCATGTAAGCCTTGTTATTTTTCCTGATATTGTGTCTGGTTCATGTGACTTATATTATATCCATACACATATACATATATCATAATGATTTCCTTTATCGTAAAGTGGAACAATTTTTAGACATGACCATTTCTTTGTGCTTTATATGTCATATGAATTATATATTTCCTAAATGTAGAAAGTGATTGTGGTGAGTAATTTTCCCCCTATCTGATTGTGTTAACATGTTGTAGTACCTCAAGGACATTGCAGAAATATAGAGAAAAAAAAACAATATTTTGTATTTAAAACCCTATTACATCTGTATAATGTACATTTTAAACTTATGCCTTTCTGAAATATTTAAAACTCTATTCTGATAAACATGCTTTCATAGAAGATAAGATCGCATGTATCTATTGCTTTAAATCTATGCCACAAAATATTAAGTCTATGCCACACAACTATTCAATCTGTGCAACATAATTATTCAGTCAATGCAACACGAGTATTAAGAATATGCTGCGCATGTATTAAGGCTGTGCCACCAAAATATTAAGTTTATGCCACCCAAGTATTAAGTCCATGCCACACAAGTATTAAGTCTATGCAACATAAGTATTAAGTCTATGCTGTGCAAGTATTAAGTCTATGCCACAAAAATATTAAGGCTGTGCCACATGAGTATTATATTAATGCCAACATTGTACATTAATGCAATCTGGTTAGACTTGATAATTGATGGCTCCTCAGTTGATTTAAAATCTTTGAAATTGACAATGGAAGGCACCAAAACTTTATATAGGGCAAGTCCATTACACAATCTAGTGGATTAAATTTATGTCTCATGTTCAAAGTATGATAATTTTATGTCATCAGCAAAGATAGGGATAATAACACCTCTAAGCAGGCAACTGTAATTAATGCATTGTGACTCTCAGTAAATAACTTTGAAATTGACATGACTGCTCAAAGTCCATTACACATATCTAGTGGGGTAAATTTTGTCATGAATTTTTGTGATGGCAAAAATTGGGATAATTTTTATGATCACAGCAAAGTAAAGGATAAGTTGTATTATAACAAAGTAAGGGATAAATTTCATGATCACAAAGTAAGGGATGATTTATATGAATACAAATGAAGGGGTAAATTTTATGTTAATTCCAGTGGTAGTCTGAGTTATTTGACTTATTCAACAATAGAGGAGGAAATATTATCAACTTGATAAAAACATGACACCTTTTTTTTCACTACACCATGCACAATATGTTCTTTCCTTGGAATTCTATTAGATACTTGAAGATAGCTGTCCAAGTTTGACGAATAAACTCATGGTAAAATTCAAAATAATATAATAATTTGATAATTTCAAAATTTATCAATTTTTTCATAGAATAATATTGCTTTTTGAAATCCATTATTTGTATAATTTTTATTGACGTTAGCTAAATGCTAGAATTGGATAAAATAAAAATAAAATCTAAAAAACTTTAAAAAAACAATAAAAGAATGGAGATAACAATAATGAAAGTAGATCTTAATACTTCTTCAGCAAAGCTCGGAAGCTATCTTTCAGGTATTTCCCATTCCACATGGAAAAATTAGTTTGTCATACTGAGGGTTGTCCCCCCTGTTTAAATATTGTTTGGTCATTTACTGTTTTCACAAGTGCAAAGTGGTAGGCATCTCTCCGCCTTTCTCTGTTATCATTTGCATATAATTTGCATACAATTTGCATATAATTTGCATATTTTTGTTTTATCCTGGAGTTAACCTTTCTCATACAGGTGTATTTTTTCTATATCTTTCTACAGCAGAAAAATGACAAGGTAATTTTCACACTCTCTTATATATACAGCTTGTACATTTGTTTTGAGTGTTATTTTTTTTTCTTACTTTTATATCTTTCATAACAGCATTTACGTCATTTGTTTTACAGAGTGCAATACGATATTTTAATAACAACTCTTATGCAAAACATCATACTTAGTTTAATTCCCATAATGCAGTTTCCTACACAGAAGCTTTTATAAGGTATTTTTACTAGTCTATTTTGGAATGCTTTCATTTCTTAATGAAATTTGATAAAAGCCAAAGCTTTATTAACAGCAAGTGAGCTATTTATGAAATTACATAAAGTTTTTTAGTTATATAAGAGGATTGTTTTTCTTCAGTTTCATTGATATGAAATGATTTTAGAGAAAAAAAAACATTTGATGGTGTTTCATTCAAAAATTGGTTTATGGATAGATGTTAACTGGAACATGGCAAATGTGAGTTTTTCCAAGCTAATCCCCTGGTACAAACAAACTTTTACCGTTATAGCTTCATGGTGCACTACCGGTCTTAATAGATAAGTCAATCTGTTGGGCTTATGTTTCGAAGCTGTAACTGTAAAATTTTGTTTATATCCTCGGGTTAACTGTGAAAACCCCAAAATATTCTTAATTCCTGAGTTAGTCTGTTACATGTGTAAAATTTCCAGCGAAGTTTTCTTGCTCATCAGACAAGTCATTAAATGATGAATAATAAGCTGAACTCTGAACCTTCTAGAACTGGAAATTGATTAACTTTTGACACATGTACAGACGCACATCCATGCAGTCTGACAAGGCTCTGTACTGTTGGCTGACTAGGATTTTTGATTTTCATCTTGATATACCAAAAAAATAATAATGGACAGTTCCAAAAATGGAAGCTGGACAAGTCCATTTACCGACAGCAGACTTTTTGGGCACCAGTATATATCAGTAGAGTCTGGTCAGCATGCAAATTTGCGCAGTTAGGCCATTACATTAAAAATGAGTATTTTAAAGTAACAAAATTAATGCTGTTATGAGAGAATAGAAGACAACTGTAGATATTAAAATCAATAAATTTGTTTTCTTACGTCATTATGCACATTTATTGTTGGATCCATCTTTTCCATTATTTTCTCCTTTTTTTTTAAGTGGGGACTAATGAAAAGATAAACATCGTTTTAGAGAAAGGTTATGGTTGATGGTTCTGAATGTCTTGACTTGACAATTTTTTTTTTTTTTGGAAGAAAAAAATGTAACCCTCAAAAGTGGCATAAAGTAATTGCCATGTTTGTCTGTACTCATGAGTGCATACTTACATGGCTATTGGAGTAATAGGATATGGTTTATCTATAAATATCTGTTTGTATAAATGAATGTCTGTCTGTCTAGCCAAAATCATCCCAAACATAACTTTGTCATATTTTCATGAATTTTCTTTCAAATTTTGCACAAATGCTTATCATTATGAGAAGATTTGTCAAGCTGAAAATTAAGGTGAGTAGCACAAGGTCAAGGTCATGTGAATAAAAGCCAAAATGTAGTTTGTTCTTTGTGTCCATTCTATAGACTTTGCCAATCCTTGAAATATTATAAAAATATTTGATCGAGCAAGACCATGATCTTTGGCTCCATGGTCAAGGTCACACATATACATGTAGGTCAAAGGCCAATAACAAGGTCACACATAGAAGACAAAGGCCAATAAAGGTTTATATTTCCATGTGTGGTCCTTAACTTTGTCATGCTTAGAAGGATATAAATATAAGTTTAATAAAACAACATCAGAGAAAACAAAGGTCTATAGCCCAAAGTTCAAGGTTACACTTAGGGGTCACAAACCAAAAAAATGATCTATTTTTTGTGCCTATAGAAATAATACTTGTTTATTTCTTTATTTTTAAATAACAGTGCACAGTTGTTAAATACTACAAGAGTATATAGAAAGAAGTGAAGACAGGGCATTGTTCTGGGGGGGGGGGGGGGGGGGGTCTTCTGAAATAAGAAAAAGACTTCATTAGAATGGACAATATGGATCTGATATTTTAGATTTTTTTCTAATCTACTTGTTTTCTTCTTTTTCTATGTACAGGCTGTATTTTAGAGAAGATATTTTAGGTTTTATTTCTTGCACTGAAATTATTTGTACTGAATAGTTTTTTTTTAACTTTATGATTTGGAAATCTGCACTAGCCATTGTTCTATTCTATTATATGTAGATGTTTTGTTAATTGAGAATTGAGCGTTCTGAGTTTTCAATTTACTGATAATCAATCTTGTGTGCATTTTCTCAAATTTTGACTATTTTTTTCTAAATCAAAGGGAGGTAATAAATCTGTAATCTCTCGGCTAATGTGTGATATGTTGATTTTTTGTCATTTTTTTTTTCAGGTGAAAAAAAATCTTATTTTGATTAAATTATTATGTTCTTTAAAGTGTGATTTTTATTATATCTTGATATTATATTCTACATTTGTATGTGTGGTTTTTAGCTCGACTTTTCTATGAAAAGGGGAGCTATCCTACTCGCCCCGGCGTCGGCGTCGGCGTTGGCGTCACACCTTGGTTAAGTTTTTCGTACCACCCCACTTTATTTCAGAAGTATTACAAGTATGGCTTTGAAACTTACCATACTTGTTCACCATCATAACCTCCAT